TGATAAGTGTTCTAGAAGCTGTGGAAAGTACTCTTTCTGGTCAATTAAAAGTTATCAACTTAAAAAAAATTTTTGTGGTCATTATTGGAGTTAAAAAAAAGTCTTAGCGGCAACATGCTTTCCTTAAGCGTTAAAATAAATATCGAGTCAATAGCCGTCAAATTCGGTAATTTTTATATAAATGTGAAGAGTTTAAGCCAAAAAAATTTTTTTTTGACCAAAAAAAATTTTATCTCGAAATTTACTTTAAAAGGGCCGCCTATTGATGTTAAAAAAAATTTTTGTTTACAAAAATTTTCGTTTTTTTTTAAATTAAAAATGTTTCCCCAGGCTAAGCAAAAACAATTTTTTTTTCGCTCCACCCTAATGCAGTGTATAAACATCTGAAAAAGAAGACGACAACACTCCTTATCTATCGCCGAAACTCATACAGGGTTATAGCAATACAACAACAGAACACACCTGAAATTAGTTTCCAACACCTGAATATGTAAAAATATATATTAAATAGATACATGTGTATATCGGTGAACGAGCAGCATCTAGCGGCATATCTACACGTCGTCTGCGTCTGATGCTAATTAACGGCATATGCTGCATATAATTACCTCAACAAACAAAGTGCATGCAACACAAACTATAATAATAAAAGTCGAAACAAGAACAACATTAGCAAACAATGTGTGACAGAATGGCGAAAAAGGGTAAGAAAAAACAACAACAGCACCACATTAACACGCAAAAATAACTGAATATTATTAGCAGAAAGTGTAGAACGGTAGTGGAGCATAACGAAAGTCATGCAACAGCAACATGAGGGCACAACAGCAAACTGTGTAGAAGAATAAATCTTATTGCATCAAAAAAAATGTGAGCTGTTGTTACTACGCAGGCGCACGCTAAAAGCGGTGGATACTGCCAGAATGTGTGAAAATTTTGTGGAAAAGCACGCATGTGAAATGTTGCAACAATGTATGTAGAATATGCTGTGTAGAAGTGGCACGCAGGCTAACGGTGTCGCGATAATTAGAAGTACATATAAATATACATACATATATGGTTTATTTAAAGTCAGGTTAGTCAGGATATAAAAGGATTAAATTAAATTTCTTAAAATTATAATGATTTTTTTTTAAATTATCTCTATGAGAGCTGTACCGAACAACATTTGATTTTTAGTCTTCAAGTGTCTTCAAGGGTTCTTACTTAAGGTAGATACTTTTAACTGAAACCTAAATGTTCGACATCCAAAGAAAAAAGATTAAATTAAATGGTTGTTAAAAAAACATGTAATGTTGACAGATATGACATCAGAGGTTAGCCATATACATTTCTTTATTTAACACGGAAAAAAATATTCCTCAGGAGAAATCCGTTAAGTCAACTGAAGTAACGGCAATTTAGAGTTTATACAACCAATGCTCATATCCTTGCTAACACTCGACTGACATAGTATAATGTACCACTAACTTGAAAAGCTTTCTAAGACCTTAATTTGTGCTATCCCACTGGTTCTGGATCATAAATGAAGCGTTAAAAGAACTTATTTCACTAGTTTTGACATGATTGTGTTCATTTAGATTTACTTTGCCAGAATTGGGATTTATAAAGAGTAAAAGGGTTGCCACATGTACTATATTTAAAATGGTTAAATATATAAATATACGGTAAAATACTCAATAGGTGTCAATGAGAAAAATTTTAACAAACTGGTTTAAAAAAAAAATTATTTTAGGGTTGCCAACTTATTTTAAATAAAAGTTATTAAGAAGTTTTGTTGTAAATTGAATATTATAAAGTTAGAAATTAGGAACAAAAAAAAATATTCTAGTGCTTGAGTTTCAGTAAATGTTGTAACGGAGTTGCCACCTCTTGTAAATATTTATATGGGCATTTAACTAATGCGTTATGGGTAGCAAATGAAAGCTTTTTGTGAAAATATTAACAAAAATAAAACTAAAACAAAAGTACAAGAAATGTTGTAATTTCTAGTAAAATATAGCAGAAAGTTAAGTTAATTAATTACAAAAAGTTTTTGTAAGATTTCTATTTTATCTTTAAAAGTTTAAAAAAAGAAACTTTAGTAAATATAAAATCTTATAGTTTGTAAAAAATATATGAATTTAATTATTTTTTCGAAATTTTGTGCACTAGTAACGTAAATACCTGTTTTTTTGTATTAAGCACAATTTTTCTAAAATTAATGATTTCGAATTTTATATCTTAATTTTAAAACCTAGTTTTCGAAGTTTTGATATAATAAAATACAATTTTTTGTGAATTTTGAAAACTTAAATTTTTTATTAATTTTGGAATTTCTCAAAACTTTTTTTAATTCAAATTTTTAAATTTAAATATTTTTTAATTTTGAAAAATAATTTTTTTCGAATTTTTGGTAATAATTTTTTTGAATTTTGTAAGCTTAAATTGTTTATTAATTTCAAAATTTCTGAAAACTTTTTGAATTTTAATTCTTAAACTTAAATATTTTTTAATATTGATAATTAAATTTATTATGTTTAAATAATATTTTTTTTTAATTTTTAATTTCAGAATATTTAAAATTTAATATATAGTTCTTTTTTGAAATTTAATATAAGAACAGTGGCTACATACAATAGTTTTTACCACAACAGCCGATTTATTGCTTGTTGTAAGATATTTGTGTTCAATCCACTTAATTTTGAATTTGTTTAAATTTTTAAAGTAGGGAAAAATATAATTTTTATTTCGAAATTTTTTAAATTATATTTGTTTTTAATTTTTAAATAATAACAAAAAACAACCATTTTGTTGTTGTAACATATTTCTATGTTCAGCCCACTAAATGATATAGAATTACCAACCTTCAAAATTATATGGTAGTATTCCACTCAAGCGCACAGCAGCCTTAGAACAATAACAATGCGCGACTGAAAAAGCGCGAGCAGAAAAGGCAAACAGATTGTTTCTTTTTTGCATGTTTTCGCAGGAAATTCCAAACAAAAGCATTTTTTACGCTTTATACAGCTATCAGCAGCTTTGTAGATACGGTAGATATGCACAGCTACATACATAGATCTAAGTGACAGATACGGACGTATGTCTGTATGTTTGTTGATGCTTTTGAATTTAATTCAGATACAAATCAGTGGAGCTCATTATTTTGTTGCACAACACTGCCCACATTTGCAACTCAATTTCATATGAGTCTTTTCAGCCGCAGCAAATGACATGTATACACCACAATGCATACGTGCATGTGTGCGTGTGTGTGTGTGTCGGTGCATATTTGATTTGAATTTATTTTCATGTTTACAGGTATTCTTACATATGTACATATGTATATGCATAGGTGTGTGTGTGTTGGCATACAATGCAACCTACACACCAGCAATAGCTGAAGGCTGCACGAGTGTGCATAAAATATAAATATGTATGCATGTGTGTGTATGTGGTAGCGTCCACCAGCGCTTTGTTGGCCATATAAAAATACGAAAATACCTGCATATCTTTCATCTGACAAGCTGCGATCTTAATTCATACGCGCAATCGCTTTGAGTTGGCAGTTGGTTGGCTAGCTCTTGGCTGCTGGCTAGCTGCTTGTTGTTGCTAGTTGCCAGTTGGTGGTTAGTAATGCGAATAGCACTCTCAGCTTCCATCACATAGCGCCGTCGACTTGGCCGCTCATCAGCATAAATTCAAATATATTAATAGCAAATAAAATGGAAATGCATGAACATACATACATACTATATATATGTACATTTTTATATATGTATATAAGTACATATATATGGTATATATAGACATAGTTAATATGCTTATTTATTACAAAATGAATAAATAATTTTATGCACTCAAACGCATGCGATTGCGTGCGTTTTGACCATTTCAAGAAATAAGTGAACGCATTTTAAACATTGCCGCTGAATTGAACTTCTGCCTGTTGCACTTTTCCAAACAAATTTGTTGTAATATGCCTGTGAAGCGTAGCAATTCGTTCGTATGAGATTAGATTTTAGCGCAGTGAAAGCTCTTCAAGCGCTTACATTGAGACAACATAAGTATGTAGGTGCACAGACTCATGTTTCCATATACAGGGTAAGCAATCAAAAAGCTCTTAAGGAACAATGTTTAAAGTAAACATTTAAAAAAATATATTAGTAGCTTTAAAAACCTGTAAATGTTGAAAATCCCGCTCAATTGTAATAAAATGCTTAAAAGCTTAAAAAGCTTAGCAACCTTAAAAAGCTTTAATATGTTCTAAGTCAGTAAAATTTTAGTGAAACACAGGTAAAACTTTCACTTTTCCAAAATTTGCCTTAAAAAGCTTTAAATAGCTTTTTGTTTCTCTCTTAAGCTCTCCTTAAATGCCTTGTGGAGCTTTGATAATATTTATTTCGTTCTCTTAAGCTTTTTAAATAAACATCTTAAAGCAGTTTAATTAGCTTCTAAACAATAGCTATGGGTCTAATCTAAAAATGTATGCTATTAACTATTTACATATGTATATTATTATATGATTCTAAAATGCTTATAAAGATTATTTAAAGACTGTTTTGTATAGGAAAAAAAACGCTAATTTGAGCAGACTAAGTTTTTTTTCATGGACAAACTTTTTCAAAGAAAGCTTTTACCTGGCACTCTGCAAAAGCGAGTCTTGCTTTGAGAATACCAAACATTTTGGAGCTCTCTTAGTGAAGATTGTAGTCGAGAGTGTGTTTACAGATTGCGATCCTAACTGAGATTGCATCTGAATGTGGTAAAATGCTTACCTGAAACACTGAGATCCTATATTTAACGAATAATATCAGTCTGACATATGCAATTGAAAGCTCTGAAGTTCAGAAAATTGGTAGAACACCTAGAAACAGTGTAGGCAAAAGTAGGTATAGTACATACATATATCAATACTATTATATAACTTGAAGCCACTAATACTATATGACAGCTTCTAAAACTTATATTCATTTAAACTAAATATGTATTTATAGTTATTTATTTTATTTTCATTACAGCACACCAACAAACTTGACCTGCAATCTCTATATCCACCTCTAAGAGTCTTTGAAAGTTTATTACATCGATGCAAAGGATCACTGGGTAAGCAAAATATAGTTTGGTCCATTTTATGTTACTTATTTTTTTCAAGCACAAAAGAAATCGTAAAGTAAGCTCTTTTAAATATGACAGAGAAGTCAGTTCTGATTTTTTGAGAGGTATACAGCTGATATTACAATTTGTGGAACATTTTAATCCAAATATATAAGGATATAAAAAACACAGCAATTTCATAACTGCAAGGTTACTCCAGGCCTCCACATGCCTGTGTTATGGATACATATTCCAATATATCTTCAAAGTGTGAGGGTAAAATTTGTAGATTATAAAAAAAGAAAATTTTTGGTAAAACAAATTTTTATCTTAACATCACTTTTAAAGTAAATTTCGAGTTAAAATGTGTATATAGTAAAAATTTTTTGTTAAGTTTTCTAGAAGCTGTGGAGATTCCTCTTTCTGGCCAATTAAAAGTTATCAACTTAAAAAAAAAATGTTTCAGCTCATTATGCTGATCATTTATATATATACTTTACACTGTATTACTTTACTGTCCTTCCTGGCAAACTAAATATACCTTGTTCTGGGTATGAATTATGTAGTCCCCAATGCAATCATTCATTATGTACGAACTTATTGGTGGACGAACTGTGTAGTGTTCTAGTAATAGATTGGTACTCAATTTAAGCAACTACATCGCCACAAACAAACACACTCATACAAACTAAAATAAACGTAACTGGTCAAATATGACTACTAATTACATGGTATGTAAATATTTGTACAAACAAACATACACAAACACACATATGCGAACTTGTACCCCAACTCATATATTATTCAACGATTCTTATGAGTTTATTAATAAGCAAAATACAACACTGTATGTACAATAGGCCTGTATGTACTACTTGTAATGTGCTGGAGACGCGCTTATTGTCCATGCTCATTTATTCAATGTAAGCGGTTTCAATCAACCAAATGACTAGCTTTCCAATCCATTATGTTCGCAAACCGTCCCCTTTTTGGCTGGTTTTTGTTCGTTTCAATGTGGTGTTCCGTGGGACATTTAATATGTTAGAGCATTTATTTTGGACATGCGGCGGAGTAGGCAGCGTCGCTTACAGTAGTTCTTCTAGTGGATTGAAACAATTTTCTATTATTTTCATATAACGCGGAGTATAGAAGAGATGTACTCGCAGTCTATTCAATAAATTCTTAATAAGTCGTTTACTTAAGCCTAATTGATCACTGTTGAGGGTTTGAAAGTTGAATTTTAGGTAAATATTTACTATTTTGGCTGGGAAACTTCAATGAAAAAAAAATGTATAAAAGCTTGTGCAAACTTGTATATTAAATGTGGGAGAACTTGCAAAAGACTTGGAACTAGACCAAGTTAGGTTGGGTGCGATGGCTGATCCTGGAATCGCATTGGAATTACTATATGTTGTCCTTTGTCAAGCCATAAAATATATAAAGTATTATATTATAAATTGACAACAAATCTGTTAAAGCTATTTTTATATACTCAAAAATTTTCTCATCTTTCAGACTCTAAAACGCAATTTCAAGAACTTCGCAATTTCAAGAACTTCAAAATATTGTCTTCGGTGATTTTGAATTCGTAGAACAGACGTACAGTAAAACGAAATGCACTGTGCCAGAAGCATAATATCTTAAGCTTCAAGATTCGTCAATGCTTTAAGATCGCTAAAAATTAACTTAGACTGAAAGCGAGTAATCGTGCACACTACTGAAATGCGTAAATTGAAAGTACTAGGTCACACGTAGTTTCATGAACCAATATTATCTACAAAAAAAAAAATTTTTTTGTCCAAAAAAAGTTTTATTCGAAATTTACTTTAAAAGTGAGATGTTAAAAAAAATTTTTTTTTCAAAAATTTTCTATTTTTATAATCTACAAATTTTACGCTCAGGCTAAGCAAAAAATAAAAAAACATGTATGTGTGTATGCACCCGCGTTTGCCAAAATGATGAAAGCGATAAGCGATGAAGGAAGTTGATAACACCAACTGACCATTAGACATGCCGTCAATCAGTCACTTAGTCATTAGTAAGCGCGTAAAGCACCGCTAAAAATGCTGAATGTGCCAAACGTGAGCCAACTTTGAGTGCCGTTATATGTTTGAGTGCGTGTGTGTGTGTGTGTGCGGTCGTAAAGTGAACGCAAACATTTCAGCACATGCCATTAAATTAATTTCAACAAAAATTGCATAATTGCAAAACAAACAACAAAACCTAAACAACACAAATGCACGAACGAAAGGCAGCCAATGCAAGTTGGCGCAAGAGAGCACATACATACACATATACATACATATATAATATATATAGATTAGTGAAGGCATTCACATGCGTTGATTTCATTGTAGGCAAATAAAATTGTGGACGTGCACACGTGGGCCACGCCGAAGATTTCTGCGCACATGCACAAATAAATTATGTATTTGTATACATATATGTAAGTGTGTGTGTGTATATGTACTGCACTTTCGCGCCATTCTGCCTGAGCCCCATTCATGATTGCTTTGACCGACAACTGAGTCGAAGTCGGCGCGCTTATTGGCAGGCGCGTGTGTGGGTGTATATGCATATACATATAGTAAAGGCATGCCATTACATACTAATACATATAGATATACAGCCATAAAACATAAATATACACACATATAACCACACACGCATGCATTTCCATAGATATTTCCTTCAACATTTCCATCTTCAGCTTCTCAAATCACCACGAAAAGTCCGCCTAACCGCAACGCATCGTTTGCATGCATGAATATCCGAGCGTTTCTAAATATCTGCAAGCTGCAAATTCACGACTTCAAAATGCTGCCATTCACAAGCAGCAAAGTTGAAAGTAAAAAAGTCGCAATTGCATGCAACTTTTACACACAATCACACATACATACATATATACATGTATATATGTATATGTATATCACCACACTTGCATGTGTTGCGACCAAGCAAATGTGTTTATACGTATATATGTATGCAAGTATGTATGTATATTTGGGCTGGTAGTTAAGCGTTTGCAGCGCTTTTTCGCTGTCAATCACTGTCAGTGTGAAGCTAAGCCATAAACAATATCGGATTTCTTGGCACAGAATACTAATTAAATAACACAAAAATAAATAAGATTCAACTGACAAGATAAGCAGAAGTAAGTGAGCACTACATCTGTAGGTATGTATATATATACACTACATACGAGTATATATATGGTATATAGATATGTACATACATATATGCATATTAGTGTGGAGCGAAAAAAAAAATTCATATAAATGCTTAGCCTGAGGGTCAAATTTGTAGATTATAAAAAAAAAAATGTATGGAAAAAAAGTTTTTTTTCAACATCTAAAGGCTCACTTTTAAAGTAAATTTTCGAGTTAAAATTTTTATTCCCTAAAAAATTTTTGATAGGTGTTCTAGAAGCTGTGGTGAGTTCCTTTTCTGGCCAATTAAAAGTTATCAACTTAAAAAAAATGTTTGTGGTCATTATTGGTGTTTAAAAAAAAAAATCTTAAAAAACAACATGCTTTCGTTAAATAAATAAAAATAAATTTTGAGTCAATAACCGTCAAACTCGGTAATTTTTATATAAATTTCGAGAGTTTAAGCCAGAAAAAAATGTTTTTTGTCCAAAAAAAATTTTACACGAAATTTATTTTAAAAGTGAGTGGGCCTCTAGGTGTTAAAAAAAAAATGTTATGCCTTCCAAAAATTTTCTTTTATTATAATCTACAAATTTTACACTCAGGCTAAGCAAAAGAAAAAAATTTTTTTTTCGCTCCACTCTAATGTACAAGTATATGGTTGTGTGGCTGGAATTGTGGCAGCGAAAACATTCAGCAGTTATCCAACAAGCCAAGAGCAACATGTGTATATGCCACTAAATTTTTTACTAAACATACTTACATATGTACATACTATATGTATGTATATTAGTAGAGCGCTTGAGAAGTCGTGAAATACCATATACATATGTATGTATGTATGCCAATTTTAGTAATGAAAGTTAAAAATTTGTTCACCGTCATTTTCCCTACTCAAATAGTGCCAAATCTTGCCAAAATTTTATTCTATATAGACTATGCTTATTTTTTATATTTTCGCATAATGCCGCAGACCGAAAAGTGTGAAATTTGATCTCTATAAGTCAATTAGTGTGTGCTTGGCAGCTGTTTGTTTACGACACGTAAGGATTATGTGGCAATTATAACCATAAACAAAAAAATTTTAAACACAAGTTTGCCTGAAATTTTGTATTTTTAATGGAATCAAGGCTTCAGAGTCGTAACAAATGTCGTAGAACTTTTTTGCGAAGATTGTGAAGTCAACGATGAACTTGCCACATGCGAGTCGTTCATCCACCCACATAAATTTATAGGTTATGTGAAATAAGTTTATGAACAAAAGTTATAGATGCTTTTATTACTTACCACATTGCCATATAACTTTTTTCTACAGAACTCGTAGTTTTGCCGAAAATCGAGTTAAACTGTTTTTAACCTCTAAAAATGCAACCACGGCCCTCCTCTTACTTTTCGCGTACTCAGTTCGCCCGTAAATTATTTTTCTCCTCATATGTGTTATTTTATCTTTGGTTTCCGAAGGGTTTCATACAACTATAATTTTTAATTTTTTTTTCAAAAATTATCTACCTTGGTCTATGCCTATGTAGCCTGTCAATGCTAGATTCGTAACAAACGAACTGAATCTCTTGCCAAAACGGCTTTGAATAGAGGTCGCAAAAGAGTTGCTTGACAACGTAGCAGAGCACTCTTTATTCATCACCATTGCTGATCGCAGCCGAGGTTTATAAAAAAGTGTATAAAAATTAGGCGGATTGGATTAGGGGTTGGTATGCTTGTAAGGACTCAGCAGCCTATTTTGAAAGCGATAATAAAGATTTTTATTAAAATCGCGAATATATATATTATTTTGTTAGTCCGGGTCAAATTTGATCAGATGTATAATATATGTCACCAATCTAGGAATGATTTTAATTACTAGAAAAGCGCAGCTTATAACAGTTAAGTCTATAAAACCAATACCGTATGCATATGCGCACAAATACATATGTATGTGTGTATGTGTGTATGTATGTACGTGTCTAACATTATACATAGATGCATATAATCAAATATAACTGCTATTTATGTACATATGTGCTTATTACAACATTATGGGCGCGTCTATCAAACAATTGCTATGAATGTCATGTACTACAGTTAAACATAGTTGTTGTTGTTTATAATTTTTTTTAAAGCATTTGCAGCTTTTAAATTACCTTATTCTATAGCACTGCTTCCTATTTATTCCTAGTTGCGCGTGTAGATTCCCAACCTTTTGTTGAAATGTAAATTTCGCCTCTATTTACTTGCGGATGTTGCACGTTGCATTTGCGTGGTGGCGTTGTGCATTTAAATCAAATGTTCAAAATGCTCAAAATGGATAAAATATTGTATTGTTGTTATTGTTGTATTGTTTTATTATTATGCACTCGCTGCTATTTGTTCGACTTTTGTTGGCATATAGTAGTTGTTAGCTTTTGTTGTTGCAACATCATGGGACAACAGTTTCATTAACATTTTATGCAGCTTATTTATGGCTTTCGATATTTAGCTAACGTTTGTACTTGTTGTTCTACAATATTAATGTACTTTCCTAGTCAATGCTGCAGTGCATTGCGTGTGCGTCTGTGGCAAGCTTGTGGCATATGTGATTGCAACGGCAGTGCGTGTTTCATAATAAAAACGGAATTGTACGCAGTTAACACGTTAAGCATATTAATACAAATACCTAAAAAAACAAAAATTATATTATTTTTGTTCAACCATATCGCCACTGCGGCGCAGTAATGAGGCCTGTAGATGATAGCATTTAGATTACTATCGTTCCTTCTAATCGCATGGAGCCGTCGCTGATTTAAGGACACATATCTACTACTATGTACACATTTGTAATTACATTATGCAATTTTATCGTTGTCCTCCAATCGCTGCTCTAATGGGCGCACTTAATTATTACTATTAATATGGCAACTCCATTAGTTAAAAGGTATCATTTAATTACCACTAATAATGTGCATTTATGCCGCTTCGTTGTGTCCTACAATGGTTAATTTGTTATTGTGGTACAGTAGCTGCTCACTCAATTTATAACGGTGTATTTTTGTAAATAAAAACAAAAACAAAAGTTAACTTTGGTGCAGCGATGAATACCCTTCACAAGTAAAAAAGTTTTACATACAAAAACTTGATTTTGATCGTTCAGTTTGTATGACAGCTATATGTTATAGTGGTCCGATCTGTACAATTTGCTCGGAGCTTATAGCCTTACCTCTGTTAATAATCCATGCTGAATTTCGTGAAAATATTTTGTCGAATAAATATTTATTTCATACAAGTACTATATGTTATAGTGACCCGTTTAAAATGATTTATTCGGAAATGATGGATTTGTTTTGAAAAATAATACATGCCAAATTTTATAAGGATACCTGCTCAAATAAAAAAGTTTTCTATACAAGAGCCTGATTTTGACAGTTTAGTTTGTTAGGCAACTATATGCTATAGTGGTCCGATATCGGCGATGCCGAGAAATGTGCAGTTTTTTAACGAGAAAATGGCACATGCAATATTTCATACTGATATCTCAAAAACTGACGGACTAATACGCGCATATACAGACGGCCATATCTAAATCGACTCAGCTTGCCCCACTGATCATTTTTATAATATAATATATACAAGTATATATATATATATTTTATATTATATCTGACGTTTCTTTTTGGCTGTTAGAAATTTCGTGGCAGACTCCTCACGCCCTGTTCAGAGTATATGTATATAACTTTACTTCGTTAAAAGTTGTATATTTCCAAAAAAGGAAGAAATATTAATAAAAAGTAATATTAATCTTTTCGATTCAACACTTTTCTAGTCGTTAAGTTTTAGTTCTGCAGTCTCGTGGAAAAATTTACAAGGAATACATATAAAGAACCAGTTAAGGTCAACAGTGGCGTCATACGCTCCACCTCTTTGAAATGGTATAACAATTTGTTATACCTACCCGCTTCGATTATACCAATTTATTTCAATTATACCAATTGTTTGTTCGATTAGGCTTTTCGCAAAATTTAGCAAATCGGGCGAAGAAACAAGAAAAATGATTCCTGAATGCTGTGAACATTTGTTGGATCATCAGTCAATCAAGCAATATGACACGCGTGGGCATTGCTGGGGACGCGGCCAAATAGAACTCGTCAAGACCGTTTACCTCATTTGATAGTTGCTTAAGGTATTGGATGCTAGGGAAAGAACTTCAGCTCATGGAACAATCTAGGGAAAATTACTGAAGTTATTTTGAGATAGTTTTGTGCATAGTAGGCAGTCTGAAAAAGTTCCACCAAGCAGGAACTCATTATCACGTTCAGCACAAGGTATTTACTCCTGAGATCGGCAAAATGCAGGACATGCGCTGGGAAAGTCATATTTTCGATAGCTCTGCCATCAGCCGGTTGAAGAGAAATATCTTTCAAGGCTCTAAAGCGTTAATCAGTAAGAAATTGAATAGCCAGCGTATAAAATTAAGTTATACCTATAAACCATGTTGTTGAATGGCGAACAATTGTTGCTCCCTGGGAAACTAAACAATCCTAATGATGGCCTAAGAGCAGTCACTAGAGGTTAATTAAAAATCAAAATATTTTGAAATGCGGAATGAGAAAAACTTAATTTTTATAACCACTATCTCTGACCACAGCTTTCTGCTGAAAAAATAGCCCATAAAGTATGAGTAACATATGTATATACATATGACTAGACCAGTACAAGATTGTAATGCGATTTAAGTTCAGCCATTTACCCAATAAGATTTAATTGAAAATGCAATTAAGGCACACATTTTCTACCTCAATTTCATTAAAATCTATTAAAAGCTAATAAATAATCCAACGTTTTCCTTCCAGAGAAAATACACGACCGAAATGCTACGGATGAAAGCGCCTGAGGAGAACATGGAAGAACTCAGATTCAATAGGTTGCCATGCATGAGCAGAACACAGACAGCCATTGGCCTTATCGAGCTGTGTGGCAAGTAGTTACATGAGGCTGCAACATACGGTGGCAAAGCCGATGGCGGAGACGGCGCCTGGAAGACACGGAAACATGGTAAGTGCACTAAGCCCAATTTGAATTTACAAATTTTCCAGTTAATTTAATCACGGCGAACTCTTTCTCAAGTTGTTTGATGATGTGGGTTAACATATTAGATATTTGTACGTATGTGTGTGTGTGTGATATACAGATACTACAAGGGTGTTACAAAATGTTTAGTATTTCAAGATAATGAGAAGTGTTGTAGGAACTGCTTGATTTACAAGTATATTTTTTTTTGGGTTTCAAAAAAAAAAAAAATAATCAAACCGATGAGAAAATAAAATGTTCACAAAACATTAAAACAATTTTTAAGAAAATTTCAAATTAAAAATTTTAAAACCCTGCAAAAAAAATTTTGAAATTTTAATTTTTTTTATTATCTAAATTCTCTGAATTTCAAAAAAAAACTTTAAATTGTCTAACAAAAAAATTAAAAACTATTTGCAGTTTTTTCAGAAATAAAAAGGAAACGAAACAGGTGCAAAACATAATAGGATTTAAAAATTTTTTTTTTTAATTTTGAACAAAAATTTTATTTGAATTTTGAACAAAAATTTTTTTTGTCTATAAAAAGTTAAAAGTAAAATTTTTATTGTGTTTTTTATTTTATTTATTTTATTGTTTATTATTTGAAATAAAACTTATTTCGAAATTCAAATAAATTTTGAAATAAAATTTTTTTTATAAATCTAAATTCTCAGAATTTCAAAAAAATTTTAAATTTTCGAACAAAAAATTTAAAAATTAAAAAAACTATTTAAAGTTTTTCCAAAAATAAAAAAGAGACGAAATAGGCGCAAAACCTAAAAGAAATTTAATATATTTAATTTTCAAAAAAAAAAATATAAGTAAAATTTATATTAAAAAAAAAATAATCGAAACAAAAAAAAATTTTTTTTCTAAAAGTTAGTTACAAAATTATTTTTATTTTGTAAAAGTTAGTTCAATATTGAAAAGTCTTAAATTGTCTATTCTAATATGTGAGACTTAATAAAAAATTTAAAAAAATGGTACTAAACAACTAAAATGCAATAATGCAAAATTTTGCAACTAACCGACCAACCCTCGTAAGCATAGTCTAATGCATATCAGCATACGGTATATAACGCTCCTGCCAATAATTTGTTGTTGTAGCGTGTCTATATATATAAAGTAAAGGTATAATGTGTCGATAGGCTCTGGGCGATTACCACGATCTTCCAAGCAATCTCGTAGGAGCAACGGAAGAATCGACACTCAATTTGCATACGACAACATACAACACGTGCAGGCGCTGACAAATCGCTTTGCAGACCCCATCAAAATATCATTAAAAAAAAAAAAAATAAATAACATTAAGCTAAAGGAGGGGAGTTATAAGTACATATATACATACGTACATATATAAATTCATGTAGTACGTATATTTTTGTGTAGTAGTGTTTGCATAAGGCTTTTCTACAACGTAAGTAATAGCGTGTTGATGTCAGAGGCTTTCGAAAATAGAAGATATTGATTAAATTAAATATTATTTGCTGTTGCAAGTGCAACAGCGACAGGCGTTTACTAGTAGCTGTTTAATTTCAAATAAACGCATTTTCGGTATAAATTTCTGGTTTCCACGACAAGTATCAAAACAGTTGTACATATAACTTTACTAAATTGATTTTTCTGAATTTTACTCTCTTTTGTGTACCAAATTTTAATAGACAATTACCCATGTCAAATTTCGTGAAGATACCTCGTCAAATGAAAAAGCTTTTCATACAAGCACTTGATTCCGATCGTTTAGTTCGTATGGCAGCTATATGCTATAAAAGTCGGATATTGGCGCTTCCAACAAATGAGCAGCTTCTTTGGCAGGAAAGGAGGTGTGCAAAATTTCAGATTCATATCTCAAAAACTGAAGGACTACTTCGCGTATATACAGACGGTCATGGTTAAATCCACACAGCTCGCCATGCTGATCATTTATATAGATATTTTATAGAGTCTTCGATGTGTCTTTTTTAGGTGTTACAAACATCATGGCAAACTTAGTATAGTTTTGGGGTATAATAAGCGAGTATAAGCGAGTCAGAAAGTGACGTTCTTCTTGTCGCAATCGTAAAAGTTCTTATCGGACATTTCCAACAGACATTGCTGTAAGGCGAAAAATCTCTTCGGTTGCAAATTGTCAAAGTTATTTGGAAGACGGTGAGGTGGAGACATCCAAGCATTTTTTTCCATTGAAAAATCTCGCCAATCATAACTTTGGCGAAGCAGGAGACATAGCCGAAACTGATATTAACCGAAAAAATTGGTTTGTTCTAAGCGCTTTGTCGATTTATGAGCGTCTGAATGAATAATATAGAGGAGTTATTGGTACCACAACGGAACGGCGTTGTAAGCTGTCCAAGTGAGATCTCACTTAGGATCGACCTTTTAACCTAACCTAACCTAACCTCACCTATGAGAGTTAGAATCTCAAAATCAGCAACTACACGCAGCTTTTTTCAACATTTGAGTTCTTAACAGTGTTGTAAAATATGTTAAAAGAAAGTTTATGCGAGTTGAGCGTTCGTTTGGCTCTCGCTTACAAAAAAATATGGTTTCCACATATTATTAGCTATTATATAATTCGTGTTAAAATGCATAAAAACCTGTTGTTTTTTAGACAGCAGCGGCAGGGAAATTTATAATCCGTATATTAATATTCTTACCCTATAAAAAAAGAAAAAAATAAATAAAAAATTACTAATAAGTGTTATCGAAATTAATTAAAATATAAATTAAAATAATTTGTTTCTAAACTGTAAGTTTAAAAAGTTTTTGGAGCTCCGCATGTTCGTCATTACGAAAAAAAGTGGTGAATTTTTTGAGTCGATGTTTTGGAATAACAGAGATATTATATATAGACCGATTTAATATTATATATAACCGAATGATCAGAAATATAAGCTTAAACGAAATTTTTGTGTAATATTTTTTGAACTGAAAATTGTCTCTCTTATTTAGACTATATGACTATTTATTTAAAGACCTTTAATGTTCACTAGTTCAGTATTAAAATTAAGCTTTATATCTCCATTAGTTATTTAACGAAAAAAAACCAAATTTTACAAAATAAATGCATATTGAAAGAAAATTTGACCAAAAAAAATTTTAAGATCAGATATCTGACGTCCGTACAACCGATCGTTCAGATACGAGACTTTGTAGCATAACTGCTCTATTTAAAGAACTAAGAACACATAATTTATTAATTATATATATGAGAAAATATAAAGTGAAAATTATTCAGATAAGCGCTTTATAATTTTAAGCACCCAGAAAATCGATTATGCACATAAGATTCCTCATACTATATCTCACTCAGTTAAAGAGCTAGAAGCACCAAAGTTAATCATATTTTTACTAATTAGAAACGGAAAAGAGATAATGAATATCAGCAGGATCGTATGACGTTAACATAAAGTTTCCATATAACCAATTACTAACCGATATGAGACTTTGTAACTTAACTCCTTTCTTTAAAGGGTTAGAAAAGAAATTTTTAGGCGATCTCTGCCTATCAGAAACTAAATTTAGACAGTGAAAAATATTATGATCATATGACTTTCACATATATCTACTATACAACCGATCGTTCAGATATGCGACTTTTTGGCTTAACTGCTGCAATTAGAGTGCTACGAACTCTAAATTTGGTAATACTTTTATATGCCAGTAGTAGAGTGTAGACAGTAAAAATCTTAAAGGTCGGAGCAAGCTGACATATAGCTGCCATACAACTGATCAGTTTAGATGTGAGATTTTGTACTAAAGCTCTTGTATTTAAAAAGTTAGGAACACAATAATTGGGCAAATTTTTACCTATTAGGAACGAAATGTGGATAGTGAAAAATATTGAGAACGCATAATAGTAAAATATAGCTCACATAAAGTCGATCGTTCAGATATGAGATAATCTACTATATCGCATTTATTTAAAGAGCTACGAACACTTAATTTGGTAATTATTTTATCTATTAGGAGTAGAGTGTAAACCATGAAAAACATAAAGATCTTTTAATATATACACAAGTATATATGTATACAAGTATATAGCTCCCATACAATCCACAGTCAGAATCATTATTACTATTTCTTTTTTTTTTACTTCATTAAAGAAATTTAGATATTTTCACAGACACATGCAGCTGTGTTGCGATGGCGTCCAGTTCCTTCGCAGCTTACACGTGTATTATTATTTTTTTTCATTTTTTATTTATTTATTTTTTTTTGTTCAAGAATAAATCACGCACCTAACCATGTGGGCGGTCGTAAACCATTTGTCTGCCACAATTGAATTTGATTGATTTACATAGGTAATGAAAGAAAAGTAGTATTTACAAAAACAACAACAACAAATAGATCGCTTGTGAAATTGTTTTCTTAGGCAACAACATTTGCTAGACCTAACAGGCACTACCTGTTTGGCGCACGTGCATGCTAAGTAAGCGATAATCATGCAGCTTAGGCTTAGATATGTAAATATGTTGCTATATATGTATTTATACATATATGAATTGGAAATTACTTACATATATATGCATATGTATGTGTGCGTGTCATGCATTTATAGTCAGCTTAATGTTCCACAGGTGTTCAAGCGCTTTCTTCGTTACATCTTTGTATTTTATATATGTATGTATGTATGTATTTACGTGTGTTTACATATGTAACTGTGTATATATGTATAAATGGGTTTCTTAATTCATTCATATTATAATTCAAGCGCATTCAATTTTTTGCATAATAATAAGAAAATTTTACGATGACACACACACACACATAATATAAATCAATAAATTGTGAACATTTCAATAATTTTATCGCTTGTTATTTATAAAATTATATAGAGAAAAGCGCGTAAAAACGCTGTTGTGTCTTAAGAAGCGCTTGTCAAAAATCCATAAATGTTAACACACTGATTTTTTTGAATGCATTGCGCGGTGATTTTGCCCAACATAATTTATGGCCATACTGGAACACACCTTAGCTGGTTAGGC